TGGATAATTGAGTCAAGCGAACAGTAGGCACAGTAAGTGTGTGAATCACTGTGATTTATAGCGTGTGTTATAAAAGTAGTTAAGTTTAGGAACGTCCCGACTGTGGAAATTCTGTGTATTACAAAGTTTTTATCGAGGAAAAATAAACTGGGTTAATGAAGAAAGGACTTGTATCGCTGAAGTTTATCGGAAAGAATTTATACCGGAAATTAACAAACAAGCAGATACGTAACATTATCTTGTATATTCATTATTCCATCGATAAACCTTGAAACTGTACAGATAAGTTTATTTTACGTTAGTCGTAGTACCACTAGCGAGGTATTTCAGTTTCAACGTCATTTGTAAATTTAGACCTATTATTTACAACAGCTAACGTACACATTAAGGCACGTTATATAAATGTTGAGGAAGCAATAAACTAATTTATTAATGTTACATGTACTGGACTTTGAATTATATTCACCAAAATAACTTTTAAAAACCGCCTAACATAAGAACGACTTTACAACAAGGTAAATAACATTCAAGAGAATGTCTTATCTCTCGAGCTAAAAGTATAATATGAGAGACAAAAATTCTCTGAGATTCTTTGGTTTTGAACCCGATGTTAAGAGAAACGTAGAAAGAAAAACCAACAAACTACATCTGCAGTTTAGGTGATTTTAATACAACTTTTAAAACGATATATGAATTATAACAAACAAAACTTTTAACTCTACCGTCTTTAGCGCCAACAGTATTCACTATTCACAATAAAGACTAGCTTTTAATTTTTGATACGTCTAAAGGTAATATTAAGACTACTCGTTTTGTAGTTTACCCATAGTTACTGTGTTTCTATTAGTTTAATAAGAAACACACATTTATTGCCCAATCAATCTAGGTTTATTACGTCACACCTGTACACTAAAAGCACTGCGTCATAGTACATACAAGTTGCTACATCAAAAGCTATATTGAGTATATTAGCAGAGTTTAGTGTAGTCGTTGTTGTACAGTGTCGGAGTAATTATCTCGTGGAAATTAATCGCATCGTTTTTGGGATTCATTGCTAGTTTACACTGAATTGTTGAAAGGCCTGAAGGTAACATTTTTATGTCTGCTAATACACAGTAATACTAATATTAAACTTTACAGTAGTAACCCTAAATTGTTTTGAAATTAGCTTTTGTTTTTTTTGTCACAGTAATTCTATTAGCTTAGTATTATAATTTATATATCTTTATATATAGTAACGCATTACTTTAGTTTAGGCTTAATATATAGGGCTAAAATTAATGAATTTATTTACTTTTTATGTTTGTGAACCAGCATTTCTGTCCATGAATGTACCCAGAGGACTCAGTTTATATATGTTAAGTACTTATGATTCTGAGTTATGAGAACCCTGACATTGTAATATTATCTATTACACTTATAAACTTAAAAATTTTACCAAATGGTGCATTGTTTGCTTTACTGAACGTGAAACTATACAGTAACAAGAAATCTAGTATATGACTGTTATTTATTATTGTATTGTTTTTCGTTTATTGAGTAGCTAAACTTTTATCCAAAGGCTTATTTATTACTTGCAGTTGAGGATTTTGAAAAATTCATCTGGAATCAAGAAACAAGCTAACATTTACTGAATGCAAAACCATTCGGTAAAAACAAACTTGGTTCTCCCTTGTTATTTATCCTTTTGAATTTTTTGTTAATTAGCTAGTGACACTGAATCAGTGAATGTACCAAATGAGTTTTCAGTAATAGTTTAGGGTTCTTAAATTCACAATTAATAAACAAGCTTTATATTTTACTTAAATGTGTGAAGTTTGTTTTACCAAATTGAAAACCTTTTGACATAAAGAAATCTTGCAGTTATTTGTTGTATTACTTAGACTTTCCTATTAAATGTTTATTCTCTTTTAATTTACTGACAAGATTTAAATGACTTAA